ATATAACGTATTAAATGTAAAAATAGAAAATTTTCTATTTATGTGCTTCCGCAACGATCGACGAGCATAAACAATGGGGTAGTCGTTGACTAAAGAAACTTAATAAATTCTAAAAATAAATTGTAGAGTACTGTAAAGCACTTAAATACAAGTTTTCAGTTGTATATGTAAATAAATTTTATGTAATGCATATGAACGCGTTTAAATGATATGTATTTTTAAGAAATTGTAAAAATAAAATACAACTATAGCCATTCTAAAACACATCAACACAGATTCAAGATACTTCCTACTATTCTAATAATTACTAATATACATATAAATTGCAAAATTTTATTCTAATTCTTATAATATTTTAATTACTTCGATTATATGCATATATATATGTTGCGCAATTGTACGTTGTATTTAAAATTTTAGCACAATTTAATTTTCTATAATAACTGCAATAATTTTATTAACTTTAAATAAATAATGTAAACATTTTTGTTGAGTACATATATTGACTTGAATAAAATTATTCTTAAATGGAATCAACATTTTCTTACGTTGTGTATATTATATGCAGTGACGGCCATATACTAACGTATTACCTGAAAAGGCACCGGTGTATATGTATAATACTTTGCTATCATTCATTCAAACGGTTCTAACATCGATTTGTTTTTGTCATCGAACCAAGACATGTCTTTTCCTACCGTCGTCTAACCGAGCCATGTCTTTTCCTACCGTCGTCTAACCGAGCCATGTCTTTTCCTACCGTCATCTAACTGAGTCATGTCTTCTCCTACTGTCATCGAACGTAGGTTTGAATAGCATAACTCCACTAATATTTTCTTTCGAAAAATATACATATCTTCTTTGACGTTGCCTTTAATGTCGGTTTCTTCAATGCTTTTTTTCGCAAATAAAATAACTTACTTGCTACGTATAATGAATAAGTATGGCCTAAAGCATGTCGTGTTTGGTATCATTTGGATTGGAAAAATCTGACCAATATACTAACAAAATTTTCATGTATAAAGAATTAGAAATAAAAAAGTTAAGTCATCATATTTATTCTAGCATTACAATGTGTTCATGAGACTCGATGAATTACGATTTCGATTCTAAAATTGAATGCTTAAAATTCCGACCCGGCAACAATCGAGAACAAAAAAATCACTGTTCATTGTATCAAAGCTCGGACTTTTGGGGCATAAACATAAATACAGTCTTGAGTGTACGAGGAGACTCGAGTTTTCTTTTCGGGGTTCCAGAGTCAGCCGCAACAAAACATTCTTAGAGTAAATAACTACCTCTCTCTCTCTCTCTCTCTCTCTCTCTCTCTCTCTCTCTCTCTCTCTCTCTGGCGCGACATAAGATAAAATCTTTTTTTATCCTCATATCAATTTTTAGTGTTACGTATTATTATTAGTGATATTTAATAATTAGTGATACATAAATTGTAACAATTAATATCGTTATTAGTAATTGTCATCTTTTTTTAAATCGCTTTACACTCTAAATTACATAGACATATCTTTGCTATTAATATTATGGCATCGAGAAAAAAATATACGTTATTAAACATGCAACAACGTTTGGATGTCTTGAAGGATCTTCGAGAAACAGGATTGTCATCTGCACAAATTAGAATGAAATATGCCATTAACATCAGAACAATCCAACGCATTCTAAAAGATGCTACAAAAATTAATGCGTTTGCAGATAAAAGTAAACGCGAACTTAAGCGACAGAGCCACAGTATGACGAAATAGATAAAGAATTATTGTCATGGTTCGTACAAAGAAGAACACTTGGAGTTCGTATAACCGATGCTGTTATATTAAAAAAGGCGACGGAACTAAAAGAAAATTTGCTGTCATGTTCGCGATTTAAAGTAAGTAGTGGCTGGTTAGCAAAATTTAAAAAACTTCATGGCATACGCTTAGTGAAGATGTACGAAGAGAAAAGTAATGCTGATCAAGAAGGAGCAGATGCTTTTGTAAATAATTTTAAAAAAATAATAGAAGAAGAAAATGTAAATTTGGAAAATGTTTACAACATGGCCGAAAGTGGACTTGTATGGAAGGCTCTTCCGACGAAAACACTGGCTGAAGAAGAAGAAAAAAATCTTACTGGACATAAGACGAAAAAAGATAGAATTACAATTGGCTTGTGTGCAAATGCGTCAGGCACACATAAGATTATGCCCATTGTAATTTACAAATATAAAAACCCAAGAGCTTTGAAACACGAAGTTTCATTGCCTGTAATTTTTAAATCGCAGACAAATGCATGGATGGATAAAACATTATTTTTAGATTGGTTTGAAAACCATTTCAAACCATCTGTAAAACAATATCAGGAGGTAAAACAATTATCAGGAAAAGTAATCCTATTGTTAGATAATTGTGAAGCCCATAAAGTTTCGTTGCACGAAGATCGAGATTTTAAAATTATGTATTTACCACCCAATACAACGTCTATTCTTCAACCGATGGATCAAGGAATCATAGAAAAAACAAAAAGAGTTTTCCGCCAGAAACTTCTACAACGTGTTTTGACGTATGATGGGGGAATAAATGAATTTTATGCCGACTACACGATAAAAAACTGCATTTATATATTATCCGAATCCTGGTCGGAAATTACGCAGGGAGATATTAAAAATGTATGGAATAAAATTATTGATCCTGCCAGTAGTTCCATTCGATCGAAAACAAGAGAGTTTGAACTTGATTGGCAAAGCATGATAAGTGAGATCACAGGAGAACAATGCACCCCGGCACATGTTACACATTTTTTATTAAACTGTGAGGAAGCAGAAAGAAAGGACGAAGACATAGAAATAAAACAAGAAGCGGCAGAACTTCAAGAAGAACCGCAAGAAATAATTTATGAAGGGAGCAATAACGAAATTGAGAACAATGAATTACGTGTAATATTTGAGAGATTGACATTTTACAGTGCAAAAGCACCAGCTTGCATTCAATGCATGGTGCAGGGAATAAAAATATTTTTCTTAGGCAAGGAAAGTTAATTAAGTAAATACGTATTCATACAATGGTAAAAATTTGCTGGCAATTTTAATATGAATCTTTTATAAATTAATTTTTTTTATATTTTTGTTATTAGGAAATGTAGTAAAACCATCATTGTAGGCCAGGATGGTACACGATTCCAAGGATGATACGCCATAGAACAATTCAATATAGAATATTATTTTTCATAATAAATATTAAATAAATAAATGTAATCATAATTATATCGTGTTTGATTTTATTGTAATCAGAAACATCTGTCCAAACGATGTCATGTTCGATCTCATTTTAATCAGAAAACTATCAGCAATATGTTAAAAAAAAACAGTTTTAAAATGTTATAATTAAAAAAAGTTATATCATTCTGAGTTGTCTTCCGGAAATTCGAGTCAAATAAGTCGCGGCACGTGCCGCAGCACATGCCGAACCTTAACATCGGCGTAGCGAGGAAATCGATAAATTGCAGAGCCGTAGCAATATCATGGCGTCAGTAATAGTAGACCAACATTTCGACATTTGGGGTGACATTACTGTACATTACTATGAATACATTGTAATGCTAGAATAAATACGATGACGTAACTTTACATGCTTTGGACCATATGTATTCATTATACGTAGCAAGTAACTTATTTTATTTACGAAAAAGACATTAGGAAAACCGATTCTTAACTGTGAAATATTGAAGATAACATCAAAGAAAGTATGTATGTCGTTCGAAAGAAGATATCAGTGAAGTTATGATATTCGGGCCTACGTTCGACCGACATTCGGAGGACCGATGCATCTATTACGGATATTCGGAGGGTAGATTGCCTCTATTCGATGGCATTCGGACAACAGATTGCCTCTATTCAGTGGCGGATTAAGGTGTAATAGGGCCCGAGGCGCAATACAAAATTGAGGCTGTTAATATGCTACGACATTCTATGATAATTGGAGCCATTATTAAAAAGGTTATATTTAAAAATGAAAACTATTAATACGAAAAAATTATACAATTTTATTTGTTATATTAAAAAATTAATTTAAATAACAGCTTTTCTGGACTTTTGTTTTGAAAACTTACTTGATAATTTCTTCGTAATCTAAAATAGTGCTCGGAATGCTTCAAAATGTAACATCAAGCTCTGCCTCCTGGCTACCACCGCAGCGTGTTGCTTGCATTGGCTTATCGACGCAGCGTCTCGCTCACAGCCGATTGTGCCAACGCGGGGAGCAAGGCGCTGCGGCGATAGTCAGGAGGCGTTGCCTAATGTTGCTTTCCGAAGCATTCCGAGTATTGGCCTAAGGTATTAACTATATCATTTTCGATAAACATCAGGATAAAAAAATTTAAATGTAATTAGGTGAAACTATTTCCTAAATAATTTGTTATTCTCTTTAAAACAGAGAAGAATCTTTCTCCGCTCGTATTACAAATTGACATAGTGATAAATATTTTTAGAACTGTTTCTACATTGGAGACTGAGTCCATTGAGTGTATGTAATGTATAAATAAAATTAAATGTATACATATCTTCTGGGTTTAATGTGTCTTCTTTTTCCTGGTACCTTAAAAATTGATGAACTTCATCTCTGAAAACAGGTCTGTATCAATATCTTTATGGTATATATTCTTCAAATTCTCGATTTGAAATTTATTTCCTCTTCTTCTAAATTGAAGTAAAAAAATATCTGAAAGTTTTACAGTTCATCGACGTAAACTGATTTCCTTTTTCGTATTTCTTGCAGCAGAGTGTCGCATATGACATAATGTACATTAACAATAAAGTTTCTTCTTTTTGTAAACACGGTATCTTCTACTGCAGTTTCATCAAATTGTATTTTTCTTTTTCTTTGTCTACTTCCTTTATAATCTTTATTTGCTGTTAGTCACACAATTTGCAGCCTTTTCTGTGAATTCAATATTGTTCCTCCCATCGTTAATAAATTCTGACATTTCATTTAACAAATTAAATTTAATACCTTGTAAAAAAAGATTTACTTTGTTTGCTTGTTTGTTTGTTTGATTGTTTGTTTGTTCGTCTGTTTGTTTGTTAGTTTGTATGATTGGTTTGTTTGTTTGATTGTTTGTTTCTTAGTTAGTTAGTTAGTTAGTTAGTTAGTTAGTTTGCTTGTTTGTTCGTTTGTTTGTGTGTTTGTTTGTTTGATTGTTTGTTTGTTGTTTGTTGTTCGTTGTTGGTTGTTTGTTGCTTGTTGTTTGTTTGTCGTTGTTTGTTAGTCGTTGTTTGTTTGTCGTTGTTTCTTTTTCGTTGTTTCTTTTTCGTTGTTTGTTTGTCGTCGTTTGTTTGTCGTCGTTTGTTTGTCGTTGTTTGTTTGTCGTCGTTTGTTTGTCGTCGTTTGTTTGTCGTCGTTTGTTTGTCGTTGTTTGGTTGTCGTTGTTTGTTTGTCGTTGTTTGTTTGTCGTCGTTTGTTTGTCGTTGTTTGTTTTTCGTTGTTTGTTTGTCGTCGTTTGTTTGTCGTTGTTTGTTTGTCGTTGTTTGTTTGTCGTCGTTCGTCGTTGTTCGTCGTTGTTTGTTCGTCGTTGTTTGTTCGTCGTTGTTTGTTCGTCGTTGCTTGTTCGTCGTTGCTTGTTTGTCGTTGTTTGTTTGTCGTTGTTTGTTTGTCGTTGTTTGTTTGTCGTTGTGGTTTGTCGTTGTTGTTTGTCGTTGTTGTTCGTCGTTAGTTCGTTTGTTTCCTTGTTTGTTTGTTTGTTTGCTTGTTTGTTTGTTTGTTTGTTCGTCTGTTTGTATGTTTGTTTGTATGATTGGTTTGTTTGTTTGATTGTTTGTTTGTTTGTTAGTAAGTTAGTTTGTTTGTTTGATTGATTGGTTTCTTTGTTCGTTAGTTTGTTTGTTTGATTGTTTGCTTGTTTGTTTGTATGATTGGTTTGTTTGTTTGATTGTTTGTTTGTTTGTTAGTAAGTTAGTTTGTTTGTTTGATTGATTGGTTTCTTTGTTCGTTAGTTTGTTTGTTTGATTGTTTGCTTGTTTGTTTGTATGATTGGTTTGTTTGTTTGATTGTTTGTTTGTTTGTTAGTAAGTTAGTTTGTTTGTTTGATTGATTGGTTTCTTTGTTCGTTAGTTTGTTTGTTTCATTGGATTCTTTGTTTGTTTGCTTGCTTGTTTGTTAGTTCGTTTGTTTCTTTGTTCGTTAGTTAGTTTGTTTGTTTGTTTGTTAATTTGATTGTTTCATTGGTTTCATTGTTTGTTCGTTTGTTTGTTTGATTGATTGGTTTGTTTGTTTTTTTGTTAGTTTGTTTGTTAGTTTATTAGTTAGTTAGTTTGTTTGTATCGTTGGTTTGTGTGTTTGTTGGTTTGTTTGTTCGTTCGATCGTTTGTTTGTTTGTTCGACTTATACTTTGCAATAATAAACAGGGCTGTTTCATACATATTAAAATTAGTCATCAGTTTTTTGACTTTTACTTTCATGTGTACCGATGTCATTCAAAACTTTTTTTTATCACAGAATAGCGCCTCATGCGCCTTGGGGTTAATCCGCCACTGCTTCTATTCGACGGCATTCGGAGGACAGATGCCTCCATTCGACGGATATTCAACGAGCCTATTACGCGCGTTTGACGGAGAGTGCGAAGGAACAGTTCACTGTACTTTTTCCATCACATTGAAATTTTGAGAGGCTTCGGATTAAGGATGGTCGAACATTGAGGAAGAACAACACTGTTTAGATATGAGGCCTTGAAACTCAGCGCCGATAGCACAACGGATGGGTTGCAGATTTGGCGATGAAGGACAAGGGCTGGAACTGAAGTCAGGTTTTTCTGCGAGGACAAAAGTCGATTCTATTGTTCGAATCGTTGTTACGGCGTAACAACGGCAATACTCATAAAGCAATGAAACAATTACAAAAGCAAAAGTCAATTTACCACGATGGCTCTATGCAGAAAAAATCCACGAAAACATGAAACAAGAGCATATAGAAAACATGTTAAAAGTTTGGTAAAGAGTCGCACTTGTCCATCCGCGGTCCGCGGACGCGACACTCGCCCGGGAAAACCAAGATTCGGTCACTTTTTCATAGCGAAAAATATTAGTCATTGAGTGCTGCGCACTTCGACCACCAAATCAGTATAAAAGGCGACTAAAAAAAAATGTACGGTCTTGACTATCAACGGACGTTGAGATTGGTCTTGTGGCTCACATCGAAAGTGATCATTTTGTGTTATTGTAGTTTATTACCAGTATTATGAATTTTTAGTGTTAAGTGTTATTATTTGTGATATTAATAATTAGTGATATATAAATTGTGGCAATTCATATCGTTATTAGTAATCATCCTTTTTAATCGCTCTATTTCTGTGTACATACACATATCTTTAATATTAATATTATGGCATCGAGAAAAAAATATACGTTATTAAACATGCAACAACGTTTGGATGTCTTGAAGGATCTTCGAGAAACAGGATTGTCATCTGCACAAATTAGAATGAAATATGCCATTAACATCAGAACAATCCAACGCATTCTAAAAGATGCTACAAAAATTAATGCGTTTGCAGATAAAAGTAAACGCGAACTTAAGCGACAGAGAATAGTAAAGCCACAGTATGACGAAATAGATAAAGAATTATTGTCATGGTTCGTACAAAGAAGAACACTTGGAGTTCGTATAACCGATGCTGTTATATTAAAAAAGGCGACGGAACTAAAAGAAAATTTGCCGTCATGTTCGCGATTTAAAGTAAGTAGTGGCTGGTTAGCAAAATTTAAAAAACGTCATGGCATACGCTTAGTGAAGATGTACGAAGAGAAAAGTAATGCTGATCAAGAAGGAGCAGATGCTTTTGTAAATAATTTTAAAAAAATAATAGAAGAAGAAAATGTAAATTTGGAAAATGTTTACAACATGGCCGAAAGTGGACTTGTATGGAAGGCTCTTCCGACGAAAACACTGGCTGAAGAAGAAGAAAAAAATCTTACTGGACATAAGACGAAAAAAGATAGAATTACAATTGGCTTGTGTGCAAATGCGTCAGGCACACATAAGATCATGCCCATTGTAATTTACAAATATAAAAACCCAAGAGCTTTGAAACACGAAGTTTCATTGCCTGTAATTTTTAAATCGCAGACAAATGCATGGATGGATAAAACATTATTTTTAGATTGGTTTGAAAACCATTTCAAACGATCTGTAAAACAATATCAGGAGGTAAAACAATTATCAGGAAAAGTAATCCTATTGTTAGATAATTGTGAAGCCCATAAAGTTTCGTTGCACGAAGATCGAGATTTTAAAATTANTATTAATATTATGGCATCGAGAAAAAAATATACGTTATTAAACATGCAACAACGTTTGGATGTCTTGAAGGATCTTCGAGAAACAGGATTGTCATCTGCACAAATTAGAATGAAATATGCCATTAACATCAGAACAATCCAACGCATTCTAAAAGATGCTACAAAAATTAATGCGTTTGCAGATAAAAGTAAACGCGAACTTAAGCGACAGAGAATAGTAAAGCCACAGTATGACGAAATAGATAAAGAATTATTGTCATGGTTCGTACAAAGAAGAACACTTGGAGTTCGTATAACCGATGCTGTTATATTAAAAAAGGCGACGGAACTAAAAGAAAATTTGCTGTCATGTTCGCGATTTAAAGTAAGTAGTGGCTGGTTAGCAAAATTTAAAAAACTTCATGGCATACGCTTAGTGAAGATGTACGAAGAGAAAAGTAATGCTGATCAAGAAGGAGCAGATGCTTTTGTAAATAATTTTAAAAAAATAATAGAAGAAGAAAATGTAAATTTGGAAAATGTTTACAACATGGCCGAAAGTGGACTTGTATGGAAGGCTCTTCCGACGAAAACACTGGCTGAAGAAGAAGAAAAAAATCTTACTGGACATAAGACGAAAAAAGATAGAATTACAATTGGCTTGTGTGCAAATGCGTCAGGCACACATAAGATTATGCCCATTGTAATTTACAAATATAAAAACCCAAGAGCTTTGAAACACGAAGTTTCATTGCCTGTAATTTTTAAATCGCAGACAAATGCATGGATGGATAAAACATTATTTTTAGATTGGTTTGAAAACCATTTCAAACCATCTGTAAAACAATATCAGGAGGTAAAACAATTATCAGGAAAAGTAATCCTATTGTTAGATAATTGTGAAGCCCATAAAGTTTCGTTGCACGAAGATCGAGATTTTAAAATTATGTATTTACCACCCAATACAACGTCTATTCTTCAACCGATGGATCAAGGAATCATAGAAAAAACAAAAAGAGTTTTCCGCCAGAAACTTCTACAACGTGTTTTGACGTATGATGGGGGAATAAATGAATTTTATGCCGACTACACGATAAAAAACTGCATTTATATATTATCCGAATCCTGGTCGGAAATTACGCAGGGAGATATTAAAAATGTATGGAATAAAATTATTGATCCTGCCAGTAGTTCCATTCGATCGAAAACAAGAGAGTTTGAACTTGATTGGCAAAGCATGATAAGTGAGATCACAGGAGAACAATGCACCCCGGCACATGTTACACATTTTTTATTAAACTGTGAGGAAGCAGAAAGAAAGGACGAAGACATAGAAATAAAACAAGAAGCGGCAGAACTTCAAGAAGAACCGCAAGAAATAATTTATGAAGGGAGCAATAACGAAATTGAGAACAATGAATTACGTGTAATATTTGAGAGATTGACATTTTACAGTGCAAAAGCACCAGCTTGCATACAATGCATGGTGCAGGGAATAAAAATATTTTTCTTGGGCACGGAGAGTTAATTAATTAAGTACGTATTCATACAATGGTAAAAATTTGCTACCAATTTGAATATGAATCGTTTATAAATTAATTTTTTTATATTATTTGTTATTAGGAAATGTAGGAAAACCATCATTGTAGGTCACGATGGTACACAATCCCAAGGATGATACGCCATGAAACAATTCAATATAGTATATGTATAATTTTGCTCTTACCTAATTATGTATATCAATGCAGCTTTTTAATGTACAGTTTATTATTAATATGTATAACAATGTATTTTACTTACATAATCACAGCGATAATGTAATAAAGTAAATTACCCATTAAGTATTAAGTAAATAAATGTAATCGAAACTACATCGTGTTTGATTTTATTGTAATCGGAAATGTCTGTTCTAACCATATGTTTGATCTCATTTTTATCAAAAAACTATCAGCAATATGTTAAAAAAAAATCAGTTTTAAAATGTTATGATTAAAAAAAGTTATGTCATTCTATTATGAGTTGTCTTCCGGAAATTCAAGTCAAAGGGGCCGCGGCGCGTGCAGCAACTCATGTGTTCACAGGCTCCGTCGAACCTTAGTATCGGCGTAGCAAGAAAATCGATAAACTACAGGGCCGTAGCAATAGCACGGCGACTTTCATGGCATAGCAAAATTTTGACATTTGGGGAGCGATTACTGTAATAGCAACATTTTTAAAAAGTATTATAGTCATTACCTAATAGATCAATCCCTCTACCACCTAAACAAAATTCAAATTGTTTAGTCCAGTTTTAAAAAGTTATACTGTTTTTCAAGTGTACAAGACTTCATTTTAGGCTTCTGTACTTAAAATAATCAATATATGTATATAGAAAATTTTTAAAGAATGTTTTAAAACTTAATTGTGTTTCCTACGAAACTTATCTAAGCATACAGTTTTAATTTTTTTATGACTATATTCAAAGAACACATTTAGATGATCAAACACGT